TCCTTCCACAAGGAAAGGTGAGGTGCCTGAAGTGATAATCCCCTCCAGAGTTTGCACCCTGAGTGAAGCAACAGCCCAAGCCATGCTGCCCTCCAGCCAGGAACAGGGTGTGGACAAGGCTGGTCCATCCAGAGGTATTAACCCCAGAGAATGTGGGTATGAGGCACATTTCTTTAGCTGGTCCCTACAGTTTGCCCAAGGGCACTACTGCACAAATAAAAAGATCCAGGAGCAGATTGTAACGCTGTGGAAACCTGCCTGAAAACTGGTGAGATGCTGGGAAGCTCAGGGCAGCTGGGAGGGCCTGACACTCTTTGAGCTGCTGTGTGTGACAGGAAGATGTTGAAGGAGATGAAGGGAAAGCAAACTGCCCTGCATCATTCTATCAGCAGATGTCAGCACCAGCTGAGTCTGTAATAACCTGGAAAAACTCTGTGCTCTGGGCACTCAATGTGAGTACCTGAAACACATTACCAAGGGTCAAACTGTGCTTTGATTTTTGTTTTTTACCGAACCTGTTCTTATTCCTTCATAGCCTGAAGCTGTCTGTTTAAGCCATAACAACTTTAAATTACCTGCTCTAACCAATCAAGTTTGGAGTGGTGTATTACAGAAGTTTACACCTTCAATTATCCTCTTCTTTGCTGTATTCACATCACCTGTTTGTACCACACTAGTTACAACTCACATACCATAGTGTTTTGAAAATGAACAGGCAATTAGAAAACATTCCAAATTTACTAGCTCTATTATTTATAAATAATGTTATTTATTTAAAAGCACTCAACACTATTCTCTGCCTATGATACCCATTCTCTGTACTGCTCAGGCATAATCCTGCAAACTCTGGCTGTTTTTATTGCTGTCTTCTCTGTCTCAATTATTCACCCTGTTTGCTGATTCTTGTGAGAGTGCAGACACTGCTAACCTGAATATTTGGAGCACTGAGACTCAGACAAACCTGGCCATGGCAAAATAAGGGCAGTTGAAATTGTTGTATTTACATTCAAGCAACATCTGATTTAATAAGATTCATTTTGATATGATGAGTTGCCATGAAATCCCAAGTGGATGTTCTAGAGCAGCTTTTTGAAATCCATATGTATGGAGCAGAATTCATTCACTCTGAGGAACAGAACTGCACAGCAACAGTGACAGACACCAAACAATCCATCCACATTTCCCAATGCTACTGTACAAAACCCTCCAATAAGTATTTCTAAAATGTACTTGTTCTGAAATGCACAAGATGTGAATTTCCATCACTGAATGATGATACATAACATTTGTCTTTTTTTTTAATAAAGCAGAGCTATTTGCTTCAGAATTTGTTAGCAGCTGTTTAGTCTAGGAGTCATTTGGAAGGGACAGACTTCAAAGAAGAGAAGAAAGAAAGAAAAGGCCAAAATAAAGATTTATGTCAGACTAAGTGGCTTTCTGTCGTAAGAGCAAAGCATACAGGAAGCAGCTACTTATTTGGGTGGGGAGATGGAGATTACGAAAAGGGAGGACACTGAAAGGTAGGTAGGAGGCAGCCTAAATGCACAGGCAGATGAAGCAAATACACAGCACCTTTAAAAACCAGTGTATGGTAGAGCATGTACTAAGCTGTAATTTCTTAAAGCTTCTTAATGTCACTGTGAAGGGCATATTAAATCCATCTCATGGATCACAAGACTCAGGCTTAAAGGTATGAAGAGCTCTGAGATGCTTTCAGTCGGTCGTTTACATGAAATGAAGAAATGTGAACTGAAGTATGGCCAAGTTCCTCCCATGCTCTATGTGGTAAAAACAAAGTCAGTTAAATTTCTCTATAGATTCTAATTGTTCTGCTAAATTACCTAGAGAAAATAAGAATAATTTTAAAAAGGAAGGCAAATTATATTTACCAGAGTGCTTAATTTTGAAACGAACATTAAAAAAAATAAAGAACTCTACCAGAAGCTATTATTTATGAGTTTAAATTTTCTTTGTAATTTTTTTATAATTTCTTTGTAATATTTATTTTTTCCTGATTTCTGGCTATACCTGCTGGAATCAATACCTCATTCATCACAGCTGACTACTTTACCATGCTTTAGTTACTCATCATAGGATTTCCTGTGTTACACAGAGTAGCTCTGCAATAGTCAACTGACTCCAGGTTAACTGTGATGGAAACAGCCTGCAATCACAAGTGAAATAAATGTGTTGCAATGTTTTAGAGAAAACCAGTAACTCATGACAATCACAAAATTCATTAGCACCAACTCACCTGACCCTCCTGCCTTGCACACTGTTGGGTTCGTCAGCTCCTGCCTCTTCCACTAATAATTAAAGGGAAGTTGATGAGTTGATGACTTGATGAGTTTTACACATTCTCAGCCTTTAAAGTTATGTGTGATTTCACAGCTACAGAAGTTTTAGAAAATCTACAAGACTGAGTCTTGGGAAAACCTGCAAAGACCACATTTCTTTGGCTAGGAATCATTATTGTTCTTCCCCTTCCCATCATTACTATAACAATTAGAAATATGCTGAAAAATCAAGAAGAGAATGAATTTTAGAATGCATAAATGGAGGTTTGCTGATGAGAAAATGGGAAGAATTTACCCAGCTACTGTCAATTCTGTACTCATCAAGTTCTACAATAACCAATATTAAACTCCAGCAACACCAAGTTCAACAAATAAAGAATCGGTTTGTGAGCTCTGAGTAGCTGTTTTCTAACAATAAAGAACCACATGAGGCCCGTAATTCTTATTACAATGTCAAACTCCAGACTGTAATAACTTTCTCTGGTTTAGTGGAATCTCATCAACCTTTAGTTAGTGCAAGGCTGTTCTCATCAGTAGGTAAAGACTGTGGAAGTTGGGGTTTGGAGATGAGTTTGCTGAAAAACAAAAATATGGCTACAGCAAAACATATCAAACACCCATGATTTAAAGAATGGCCTCTCTTTGTAACAACTTTGAGAACCTGACAGTGACCATAGATATTCCTAATCATCCTGGGGGACAGGAATGGCTGGCCAGACTGGAAATAGCTGAAATATATGGAATATAAGGCACCAAGTATCATCATACAGTTGCCAATATAAGCATGCCCAGAAGGACCAAACAGCTCTCAGACGATGGGATTTGCTTGGCTCTGGAAAAGGAGGTTCAAGCAGCACAGAGGTAGAACATGCTCTAAATCCACATGCTGAGTGTATTTTTAAGAGTAACATATTCTGCAGACAACTGCCAGGGCATAACAACAAAAAGCAAATGAACAAAACCCCCAAACTGGCCCTTTGTAAATTTATTTTTAAATAAAAAGATGGTAAAGCAATTTTCCTTCCGCTCTATCAGGCCCATCGAAGTTTCAAAACAGAAGTGGCAGGCGTGAGGTGTTTTGGTTTTGATAACAGCTGATTAATTATTGACTCACTGAACAGGAGAAATCTTGTGTCAAAATGGTGCCAGGAAGAGCTCACAGAGCTAACAGCAGACATGTGCTCTTTGGTATAAGGCTTTCATAATCTGATCATACAAATAGCAGGTGTTTAACTGCCTTTGGTTGCCTTTAAAAGTTTTATTTACTGCCACTGAAATATTAAGTACCTTTAGGAATTTTTTATTCTTGATTAAAGGTTATTTAGAAAGCAGAGAAATTGCCTCCTCTGAGGATTCAAATATAAGAAATCATCAATGCTGAAATACAATTTTCAGAGCTGATATCCACGTGGGAATTTATTTCAGGATATTTTGATAGCACAGACATCAGAAATAAGCACTTGGTAAAACTGTGCTGTTCTTACAGGAATATATGGCAAAACAAAGCCAAATCCCCACAGTCTGTGCTATAATATCCCACTACAGGGAAACATTTCTAGAATAACCACAAGCACCACTGGGCTGCCTCAGCTGTGCTGCAGAGCCCTGTGGAGAACATCTGATAAGCTTAGGACAAGCTGAGCACCGGCCATGGGCATCTGGGTTTGGCTTCAATACTCTACATTCTAATATTTTAACTACTTACATCCTAAATTTGTGCTCTGAGGAAGGGAAAGGCTCCAAATCAGCCAATCTCAGCACAGAAAAGGCTCTAATGATCTCCCTGTTTCACAAACCTCGGCACAAATTTATGACGTTGCTTCATCCCACACATCCTTACCTTGACAAGCCAATGTTGTGCAAATCAGCTGTCAGTGTTGCTTTGATTTCAATACTATGCTAATGAAACTGAAGACTAATTCAGTTTTCAGACTGGAATTCCACTTTAAAAACCAAGGCATAAAATGGGAACTGTAAATTTTAAATTGTGTAGAAAATATAATTCAAGTAAGAAGAACACAAAGCAGAAAAATTATTTCACCAAACAACTGCCACCAACTGTTACCAATCCCTCACCATTATACATGTATTCATACTGAACCGCAAACAATTTCAAATTGTGCAAATTGCAGTGAATATGAAACTCTGAGGGTTAATTACTGACAAGCTTTTACCAGAAACAATGGTGGCTTCAATCTACAAACATACCCTCAAGTGTCTGGAGGGACCTTTGTGTACATTAAGGCTCGCACTGATTTTAAATACTGAGCAAATGTACTCTTATTTAAACAAAAATTAATGTGTCAGTGCAATCCCCTATGAAACAGAGTTTATAAAAAAATGTGGATTTGAGTATTACTCTTCTCAGAGAAGTGTATATATGATTTGATGACAAATGCAAGTAGCTCCACATCACTAAAATTTAATGCTGCAACAGGAATGTCCATCGAATATGGAATCCACTACAAACCAAAAAGACTATTGTCAAATCTCTGAATAATAATTTCTCCTTGCTAGTGAAGAGCTCATAGTATTAATCACTTCCACATAGTTTGAATCCCACCTGCTGTAAAGGGTACAAAGAAAGAATGCAAGTATTGCTAATAATATCATTAGCAAAAGAAGGGTGGAGAAAATTGCATTACATTGCATTGCAACATTAATAAACATTTAATTTCTGCATATGAACTGAGCACTCAGTCTCCTGTCAAGACACCTTAGATGCACTTGAAAACAAGGCTTAACCCAGCATTGGTTTTATAGCATTCACTCCCATTGAAGTGAAATGGCATCTTGTTATAAAACTTTAGAAATTATAGGAATGGTTTTTATTTCTCCTGTTTTAATACCAGCACTGGTTTTGGGGGTTGTAGTACATGATTTTTTCAACCTGGAACTGCCGCCTGGAATTGAGCAACCCCTAAAGCTTCGTTTTTTCCAGTCCTTGCTGATAACAACCATGATCATGGTAAGTTAAATTTCTTAACCTGGGGATTTCATTTTTGCTTAGGTAGGATATTTGGGAGCTGGAGGAAAATGGCTTAAGGGAAAAAAAAAAAAAAGAAAAAAAAGCAATTCACGCTCCTGAAGCCTGTTAACATTGATATATGAACCCAAAACATGTTAAATTAACTCATGAAATTAATATGACTAATCTTAAAAGCTTCTTTAGATTTTTTCAGTCAAACTGCAGCCACTTTATGCTGGCAAACTGTTTCACATGAAAATTTAAAGCAAATATCCAGATGTAGCCTGTATATTGAACTGCATGTACACACAATAATGCTGTCTGTTAAGGAACAAGCCAATATTACTCCTCTTCTTCCAAATTCTTTCTTTTGAACAGGGAAAGATTTTGGAGAAGCTTGGGATCTGCAATGATTTAACCATATTGCGAATAGTGCTCGATGGGATACCCCCATGGAGAGATTCCAAACTGCTCATCAAGGATCTCACAGTAGATGAGGTACCCCTGAGGATTTATCAGCCCAAATGTCCACCCACTGGCAAAAGAAGAGGAATTCTGTATTTTCATGGAGGCGCTGGCACATTCGGGAGCATTAGTAAGAAATGGGCAAGTTTTATTTTTCAAGTCAAATCCAAACCTTTACATTTTTGCCTTCAGGCATGTGTCAGTCAATGTGTGTCCTGTCCTTTCCAGTGTCATCAGTCATTGCTCAGCACAAGCTAGAAAGTATTTGTGGAATGAATAGTCTCGTGTTAAAGGGAGTCACATCTCTGCTTCCTTTGGGCAAGAGACCTGTGATCCAGAAATCCCTCACCCTGCTCTCAGCTCTCAGTGAGGGATGCTACTCTACTAACACTACCCTATCTTACATGAAAGAAGTAATATGGGTCCAAGGAAGAATTTAAATACATTAAAAAAATAATCTGTAAATAAATTCCCATTCATGCAAACAAAGAATCTAAATGAAGGAAAATAGAAATAATGAATGAGTAATTTGGGGAAGATTTATTCTTCTGGTGGCATGGCACAGGATATTTGATTTCTTTTCCAGAAAGGGAGACAACCCTTGTCTCAGCAGCTGAAAATTCAACTTCCTGAGTGCTCTGGATCTCCTTCTAAGCAGCCAAGGCTCCGAGTGCTTTCTCTGCAAGCCAAGGCCTCTAACATGGAAATCTGGACTTTGTTCCAGGGGTCAGGCAGTGCAATTTGAGGGATTTGAATCCTTTTCTGTTTCAAAGGGTAGGTCTGCACTCTACTGGGCAGACTTGAGTTTCCTGGCATCCTTCAGCCCCGTGTAGGAATCACAACCTAACTCCCATGCCGTGGGTTCCCCTCTGCACTGGGGCACAGATAACCCACCCTGCTCTACTCAGAGCACAGGAGTATGGGTGGAGTGTCTGGAGATAGTCTGGGTGGCAGTGAGGACTCCAGGGATGGCAGGCACTCTGATCTAAGTGACAGGTGAATTCCTCTCACTGAAAGAAAAAACCACGCCACAGGACAGTGGTTCACATGCCCTGTTCACATGGCATGGCCTGATGTAACAGCCATACCTGTACACAGAGAGTGAGACCTGACCTTTGGCTTCAATTCCTTCTGCTGTTTGATAACAGGAAAACAATCAACATGATAACAACCTTTCAGAAGGCCTTTGGGAATCTCCAGCCTAGGAAGCCTGAAGTCTGCAACCAGCAAATTAGAAGATTTTACACAGATTCTACACTGAAGACAATCAGTACACAGATAACTTACTCCTCATATGGATGTCATACTTCACAAATCCTAGAATCATTGAATAGTTTGAGTGGAAGGGACCTTAAGTGTCATTCTCTTTCCAAGTCCCCACCAAGGGCAGGGACGCCTTCTGCTATTCCAGGTTGCTGCAAGCTCTGTCCTATCTTGCCTTAGACATTTCCAGGGATGGGGCAGCCACAGCTGCTCTGGGAATTCTGTGCCAGGGCCTCACCACCCTCACCGAGAATTTCTTCCTAATACTTAATCTGAACCCACTCTTTATCAGTTTGATCAATTTAAGTTTTTTAAGTCAGTAAATACATGAATAAAGGAGACTGAGTTGCTAAAACTCACTTTGATTTCCAGAAGAGTCTCTTAAAGAGGCTATACACCCGTGACACAAGAGGGAAGGTCTTTGGATTACAGCTGATAAAAGACAGAAAAAAGATGGGCTATGGGAAGGTTCTGTGAGATTCCCATGAGGAGATCTGTACTGGGAGCAGTGCTAATCAATTTATTCAAACCCAGAAAAGATGATGCAAGGTGATATGGTATTAAGTCCTCTGAGGGCCATAAACAGATGGCTGAAAAACTGCAAGATGTCTTTATGACAGCAGAGGATCAGACAGTAACAGGTGAAATGGCACATAGAGAAGTAAAACAGATGAACAGAACATTCTGACTTTATAAATGAAGCAACGGACTCCAAGCAGGAGGATCTTGCAGGAAGAAGGTCTTGGGATTATGGTAGGAAGTTGCCTGAAAATGTTGACATACTGCATAGTAGCAGACAAAAAACAAATAAAATGCTAGCAACTATTAGTAGGAAAGGGAAGACAAAACAGGAAACTTTTTTTATGCCACTGCAATAAATCCACAGTGCATCTAAACATAGTACAGTGCTTATAGTTCTGTTTCCCCCTCCTCAAAAAGGATAAAGCAGTACTGGGAAGGCTTGGAGAGGCTGCCTAGGTGAGAAAAGTGCTTCTGTGCAGAGAATATGTGAACAAACTTTGACTTTTCAGGCTGCAAAAGATGCATAAAGACAGATACACTGACTACAAGATCATGAGAAGCAAGACAAGTTAAACAGGGAAGGATTTATACACCATTTCTTACAGTACAAGAGTCAATGTCACCATGTGGAAGCAGCGAATGCCAGGTATAAAAGGAGTAACTAGAAATGGCTCTTCACACCTTTATAAGCAAGCAAGAGAACTGCTCCTTGCACAAAACTGTAACAGTTAAGGTTAAAATCATGGGTTTGAGAAGTGGTTTGGGTAATTCACAGAGGAAATGCTAATCAAGAGCATTAGGTATAGAGAGCTGCTGTCTCAAAGGAGCGCCCTGAGCCTCAAATTCCTGTGTGCTCCTCATTGCTGTTTGTCTTCAGTTTACACTCTCCTTAGACACCTTTTGTTGAGCACCAGGTGAGATGTGAAAGCACCCCAGACAGATTTCTGAGTTTCCCCACTATCACTATCCCAACATGTTGTGTGAAGCCCTGAGAGCCACAGGCCAACAGAGTAAGTGTTCATGTGTAAAGACCACGTTCCATAGCATGAGTTCCTTATCAGTTTCGTGTTGCAGCACCTTCCACATAGCTTATGTTCAGCAATCTGTATTTTCATTTCAAAAGGATATCTGATTTTCAAATCATTATTTCTGATAAACTTTCTCTCTAGGAGCCTTTGAAAGAGTGTGCCGCTATATGGCCAAAAAATGCAACTCAGTGGTTGTGTCTGTTGGGTAAGTGCTATTTTGCCATAGAAGTATTTATGGGAATATAGCTCTCAGTTGAAACTCTTCTGAAAAATATGTTGAAAATATTTACTGTTTCAGATTTCATCCCTATTTTTCACTTAAACCTTTCATTTAATTTAGAAATGTGCTTATAGGCAAAGTGTACTAAAATAATGATGCTAAAATATCCAATCTACACTAGGTTAAATCTAAATATAATCTTTAAAATTAAGGAAAAAAAGTCTGCATAACTACCACAGCAACTGCAAACAACACAACTGGAATGTGTATAATTCCACTGACAATAACCACAGTCTCTGACACTTCAGGTACCGTTTGGCTCCTGAACATCCCTACCCAGGGCAATATTCTGACTGTCTCAATGCCACCTTATACTTCATGAGGAATTTAGAAGAGTATCACGTGGATCCTGGTCTCATCATCATTAGTGGTGACAGCTGTGGAGCGAATTTTGCTACAGTTACTTGCCAAACACTGCTAAATTACAGAAATCTGCCAAAAGTGCGTGCTCAGGTCCTACTTTACCCAGGACTCCAGGGGCTGGATTTCCAATTGCCCTCCTACCAGCAGAACGCCTTTGTCCCCATGTTGACCTGGAAGATGATCATCTACTTCTGTTTTCGTTACCTTAACAGAAAACCCACACTTTGGAAAGAGGTTCAACAAAACTGTCATGTTCCTGAGAGTATGAGACTCAGGTATAAAAAATGGGTAAGTGCTGACCTTATTCCTGATGAATTTAAGATTAGAGGCTACGTATCACCAAAACCCACATCATATAAACCTGAAGTCCATGAAGCTGTCAAAGAAATTTTAGAAATAACATTTTCCCCGCTTTTAGCTGAAGATTCCATTATTTGCCAGCTCCCTGAGTCTTACATTGTGACCTGTGAGTTTGATGTGTTGAGGGATGATGGTCTGTTGTACAAGAAGAGACTAGAGGACAATGGTGTTCAAGTCACCTGGTATCATTGTGAGAATGGCTTCCACGGATTGTTAGCCTTTTTTGGCTATGGAATTTTTTCCTTTTTATCTGGAAAAAAGATAATGGACAGTACTGTGAAATATATAAACAGTTTATAGAAATGTTTTTTCAGAAGAAAGATGTAAGTCATGAAGTATCTTTAATGAATTTATACTTGGAAAGGAATCTAAACGATTTACGGTTTGGAATTCAACTGCATTTTGTAGTTTCTGATTTCTACTTCTGTAGTGACTCTCAAATGTTAACATTATTTGAAGTGCTATCATTCTAGAAAATATAACACACCAATAAGAGCTACAAGAAAAAGGCAAGGCACCTAGCATATCCTGTTTCACTAAAACTAAAGCAATTCCAGTATCTTCGCATGGCTGGCACACACTGAAGGCAAGAGACAAGAATCTCCCTGAAGATTCTTCAACAGCCCAGAAATGCTGATGACAACAACCAAGGTCTGGTTTGGCCCATGTGACAGACAGGAGGTGTTGATGGTATCAGATGGAGAATTCAGCTTCTAAGAAGTCTTACAGCAGACAGTGAAACTGCAGACATGAATTTATTTTCCAGGATTAGTCTGTACAAAGACTACACTGCTCCAGAAATAGGGAAGTCAAAAGGAAGGCTCCTGTTTGAAAAAGAAATCCTAAACTGGAACTAGCATGGATTTGATTTTGTTTGGGATCTGAGAAATGATATTTCATTTTGGAACTTAGTTTTCAAATTGGAATAGCGGAACTTCATTCTCAAACTGGAATCCCTGAACTTCAGTGAGTGTGTGGATGCCATAGAAGTGCAGAGGTGAGACTTTTCCATAACCCTTTTTTCTGTCAAGATAATCTTATGCTCAAGGCTACCCATTCTGCTGTGTTGAAAAAGTTCTGAAAATCATGTAAAGAAGGCAGAGAAGCACAGTTTTATCTGTATTGTCACTGTAATGCTATGGTGATTCTGTGATGCTTTCAACAACAAAAAATAAAAACTAGCACTGCAAATATTTCTTTTATAAGAGTGAGCATTATATTTGCTAAACACATACTGACTGATAAACCACAGACACCACAATCCTGCTACTTCGGCCTGGTCACATCAATGCTGGGCTCAGTAATCAACCTACCAAACAAATTAATTACCACACCACGTAACTGTGGAGACAAAACACAGACTGGAAGTTCACAAACACTGCTGGATGGACTATTTCTTTTCAAATCTGGGCTTTTGCTGATTTTTGAAACAAGATGTCCTTCTACTTCAGAATATTTTAGGATGACCATGTGTTCTATTAAAAACACCCAACTTCTCACTACAGAAACAATATGACATTAATTTTTTTATAAAGTTTTGTAACTGAAATGACATGGTACTTTTTCCCCGTCACTTATAATTTGTTGACTTTACAACAACAACAACAACAATAAAAGAAACCACTGACCAAAGCAAAAACAAGCAAAACCCTAAAAAACAAAACAACCCCCAAAACTCTAAAAAACCCCAAAACAAAAACAAATCCAACCCCCCCACATTGGTACCTAATAAGGTTAAATGTTTACATCTTTTCTTTCCCTGTGAATTTGGAGTTTAAATGCTCTGACATCCTAATTGTTTGAAGAGTTGCACACTTAAGATTCACAATTAATTGATCTGCATCATTTAAAGTACACCTCCTCTACATCAGCACAATCCTACTCCTCAGCAAGAACAAGATAAAGCACTTTGATTTGGAACTCTTTACTCACTGGTTATCTTAAGTCATTCTCAGCTGTACTTATTGCACAAAGAGTTACTGAAAGTTACCTGTAACAAGGTCATCGAATCATGAATCTAAAGTCAGCCTCCTGAGGCTTTTAAAAAATATGTTCTTCTGTTAGAAGAAAACACAAACACTAAAAAGAACTGAGATTTGGGTAATGACAATTTTCTAAGTGCACCTTTCCAAAGAGCACTGGTGACAAATCCTTTGGTTCTTCTGAGTGACAATCACCACACAGAAGTTCCCACTCCTGAGGAAACTCTTCAGATGGGTGTTTTACAGTGCCACAAATGCTAAAACACAAATGCCCTCTGTCCATTTTACACCTCCAACTAATTTAATACTAATGTAGCTCATTCATAACATTCTTCTGCCAGCTAAGCATTGCTTTCTTGCAAAAATTCCAAAATGCTGCTGGCATAGTTCTGTCAACAAAACAAGGACTTTCATTACCTTATCTTTTGTGAAATAACAGGAATGGGGGGTGGCAGGGGAGAAAGTGGGAGAGGGAAAGATACCTGCTAATGTGTTTGTAGAAGGGAGGAAAGAGGTTTTTACTGGAGCAAAGAAAGAACAGGAAGATTAGCAAAGAATCAGGAAGTAACAAGACAAACATATATTGGAAAGTCAAATCAAAGACATGTCAGATCAGTGCAGTTCAGCAAAATGGCAGTTGTGCTCACAGTGCTGGTGTTATTCTTAGCTGGGTTTCTTGCTGGACTTATATTATTGGTCATAGGGGCAATTAATTTTGACTTTTCCAACTCAGAAATTCCTCCTGGACTGGCTCAGCCTGCAAAGCTCCGAATCCTTCATATAATTTTAATATGCACAGCTGTGGTGGTAAGTGAACCTGGTGTGATTTTGGGGGGAAGAATAGCGAACCTGTAGATTTTAAACTTACTACTGTGCTAGAAGCCTGCATGGAATTATGTTCCAGAGAGGAGAGCAGGGCATTGCTGCATGTTTTATTGAGCTGAGTGTTGCTAAAGAAACTTTTGCCAGACTTTTCACACTGCACTGCTCTAATCCAGTCCAGCCCAGCTCTTAGGTGGTACCTAAAAGCTGCCTTAACACGAGTGTGGGAAAGTCTGACTGTGCTTCTGCCCTGACTCGAGCTCTCTTAGCAATGATTTGATTTATAATGTTTATCCATGCTGGATCATTTGTATTTCCATTCTTGGTTCAGACTATACCAGATGACTCTGGGCCGTGCTTTCAAGCTTTTCTTGGGCATGGGGATAAGAATTCTCCATTCATTTTGAGTATAAAGTGAAAAGCTGTATATTTCAGAATTGCCCTTAGAAAGGGAGAGTTTCTGTCACACAAGTGACAATATTAGGTAATGCTGCCCAAGAGGAGCTGAAGGAACTCTTCTGCCCAAAGCACATTCATGGAACTCCTGCAGCAACTAAGTAGGTTTGTCTGATAGGACTGAGGGGCTCTGGCCAGCCCAACTTCTCCAAGTGAAGCAGCCTGTAACAGCGTGGGAAGCTAATCAGTGTCCAAGAGCAGCACTTAACATCTGACAAGCTCTGCTGACAGAAGAGCTCACTGAATCACAAGTATTTATATGTAATGACAGGTGTAGAGATGCTCTGATGAGACATGGCATTAGATAGGAGATAACAGAGGGTGTGCATATATTTACTAAATTAATTTAATGGAATATCTGCAAAGAGATGCAAGCTATTTAAAATTTAAAAAGGAAATAAAGAGAAAAAAAATTCTCTGTCAGAAATACTCTACATTACGGTCAACCATAGTAAATTATTCTAGATATGTATTCTCATGCTTTGACTGCACAGAAGCTGCAATTAGAAAGAGATTACTTCACTTAAGTAGGTGGAAAAGCCAGTTCTCTTTTAATCATCAATCCACTGCCCACCATAAGCCAGCATTGTATGCTGCAATGTAAGCAACACAGGGTGAAAGAAAACAAACAAGTTAAATGTGAAAGTTAAAATATTCTTGGTATTGCTCCATTCCTGCTTGGAAAATAGCAAATACAAAAGAATAAATCATTTTATCATGTTTTTGTACAACTGGAGGCACTAAGGCTAGTTTCTGTAAAAAATTAAAATCAGTATATTGCAAAATATCTTAGTTTCTTCAAGAAATCTTTCCTCAAGATCAGGCATAGGGAGTATTGTAAATAGCTGGAATTGCTGAAAAAAAGATAAAAAAGCTTTTGTAGATAAATATATTGAGAGTCATGACACTACTGACAATCCATGCAAACTTGGCTGTCTAATAAGAAAAATTCATAACAGAACCCTGAGTATTATGAACTTAACCCAAATATTCCTAAGGACCAAAGTACTGACTGGCATGGCTGAACAATGCATTTCAAAACAGAGGCCATGCCTTTTCTTTTATTTATGCAAAGTTATGATGGAGCACTAACTCTGATTTGTATTCATTTTCTGGTGCCAGATATTCTGGCATGAATATCCCTATGGCACAGAGAATGAACAGAAGTTCATTCCTACTAAATATGTCAGGATCTTCTTGTCAGTGCATGGCACACATCAGTGAGACTTGAGATGGATCAAAAAGCAATTATCCAACATATTCTTAACTTAAGTCAACTCTGCTTTGGGTAGGTGTCTGTACCATGACAGTTAGCACCAGAATAATCATCTTTTGCTGTTTTCACATCATCTGGGGAGGTAAAGGACCTGCTGAGGAAGCAGAGAGATCTTTCCCCAGTCTGTTAATGTTGCATTGCTTGGGGTTCTGTTCTTTGGTTCATGTAACTCTCTCATAACCTCTCCTGATGCTGCTGTTTCTTGTTCAGTTGTGTCCTATACTTGTACAACTACTCTATTAGTTTATTACTGCCCTAAAAAGACATGACTTAGGCACTGTGAGTTTACTGTCCACACAGTTCATTTCCTTTGGAAAATACAAGATCTCCTGAGTGAGCTCTGTGTTCTCTTTGCCTTTGAACAGGGAAGGATTTTGGAAAACATTGGCATCTGCACTCAGGTGAGCTTTGTGCGGTACATGCAAGGAAGAAAGACTCTGGGGGCGGACCCGAAGCTCCTCATTAAGGATCTGTGGTTTGAGAAAGTGCCTGTAAGGATTTACCAGCCTAAGGCTCCATCTGCCAGCCAAAGGAGAGGAGTTATGTTCTTTCATGGAGGAGGATGGGTATTTGGAAGTCTTGGTAAGATATGTAACAGAAATAGTTCAGTTAAAAGAAATACATTCTTCATAAACAGTAAAGTTGGTTGTTTCTCGATCTTTAGCAGTTGCAAATTTTGAATATAACCACAGGTTCAATCTCATGACTCCTGCTGCCAGAAGGCATCTGCTGTTGATCACATGATTCTTCTTACAGGACAATGATATAAGGGAAAAAAATACTAAAATAGGAAGATGAGGATGTACAAAAGAACTGAGGAGCTTTGTAGGAAGCAGCAGAGAAAAGTAGAGAGCATTTCCTTCTTTCAATTCTTTGACTTCTCCAATAGATAACAACTCTGGAGAAAAAAAATCCACCACAACCTAAACGCAAACCCCACAAAATGTCTTTCAGAGACCCACGAAGAGCTGTGTCGTTTTATTGCCAGAGAAAGCGAATCTGTGGTTGTGTCCGTGGGGTGAGTCTTTGCTCATGCTGATTTTGAGAGATTATTTCCTGTAGTGTAAATATCACCTCCTGTCCCCCCTGTCATAGCAACAATCTTCCCCAGAGAAATGTCTCTGTGAGACATCTCAAACATGTGATTTACAACTCCATTCTGCTGTTGCTTGGAGCCACTGGAGACTCACTTGGGCTGCTTTCACTGTCTGATTACATCACAAATTACACTTTGGGATATCTAGTTGGAAAATGAAGTTTTGAATCAATAGTTTCAAATTCCAGACTCAAAACTGATTGTAAACAGGTAGTAAGCTGTATGATCTCCTTAACATCATCCAAGGAAAGTCTGTTTGATGCTAAGAGAAACACAGAGTGAATGACAAGCTAATACATTATCAAAATACTGACATAATGGTTCAGATTATGACGATATGTAAGCTAACTTACAGAACAAAGATATAAACCAGAAGTATTGTCATTAGTGTCCAACCCATGAAAAACAGAAGCAGAAAGTAAATGATTGTCAATAAAACCTACATATTGTTGGCAGCTGAGTACTCCTGTGTTGTTAAAGACCTAAGAGACATGATAAACAGATGACATCATAATAAAATAATCTGTACCACCTGTAGCTTATTCATGATAATCCTATGGAGACAATGAAAATTCTACAGAAATCAGGGTATTCCTGGTTGCAGGAACCAGGATTTTAGCAATACATTAAAAACTTGTATTTCCTTCCCTTCCTCTTGTCTCCGTGTCGCAGGTACCGTTTAGCCCCTGAGCACAAATACCCCGCTGCGTACGAAGACTGTCTGAACGCCACACAGCACTTCCTGCAGCACCTGGAGCGCTACGGCGTGGATCCTGCCCGCGTCACTGTCTGCGGGGACAGCGCTGGGGGCAACCTGGCAGCTGCTGTGAGCCAGACCCTGGCAGGCAGGGCAGACCTCCCCAGACTCCGTGCTCAGATCCTCATCTACCCAGGCCTTCAGGCTCTGGACTTCAATTTGCCATCCTACCAACAAAACCAGGGAGTCCCTCTGCTCTTCCGGGAACGTGCTGCTTTCTATATGCTGCAGTACCTAAATGGAAATGCAACAAAACTGGAAGAGGTCTTGGAAGGTTCCCATATTCCTATAGATATTAAATTAAAGTATAGAAAGTGGGTGAGTCCAGACAACATCCCTGAGGAATTTAAGGTCAGAGGCTACAAACCACGTGTGCTACTTGACTGTACAACTGAAGTTTATGAGACAGTGAAGAGATTCTGTGAGCCCAACCTGTGCCCTCTGTTGGCTGAAGACTCTGTTGTTCACCAGCTGCCAGAATCCTTCATCCTGACGTGCGAGTACGACGTGCTGAGGGACGATGGCTTGTTGTACAAGAAGAGGCTGGAGGACAACGGGGTTCGAGTGACCTGGTACCACCTGGAGGATGGATTCCATGGAGTCATAAACTCATTTAATAGTGCCTGGTTGTCATTTCCAGCTGGAAAAAGGGGCCTTGATAATATTGTGAATTTTCTAAGAAGCTTATAGCAACATTTTTCTATGTTTCTGTAAGAAGTGCCAAATTTCTGTGGTCTTGTATGCTTATATTCCATATAAGAAGTTCATATAGGACAAATTATTAATAAAAAATTATGCCAGTGTGATTACCATGAAAGAAATTTCAAGAATAGCTTCTTTTAATGCTGTTTGAAGTAGTCCATGCACAGTCTGCCTATTTTAATCATCTGTTTGGACTTGATACTTGTCCAATATGAGTGCTGCTCTCTCCGAACATATAAAAGATGAAGTAAAATTTTAAGCCAACATCTGGTCTGACCTGTTTTATTCAATTACAGTCAACAATTTCATTCTTCCTACAAGTTTGTGTTTTGGCAAAGGAGAAAGACACTGACACTACAGTGCAATGATGCACAGCCTGGACTCTCTGCTACATGTAGAACCTGAGTTTAAGATTCCCAGTTTGAAGACGACTACTGGCTAGGTAACCAGTATTTTATACTCAAAAAAATGAAGTCACATTAGTTAACATGATTTTTAGAACTGCAACTGTTCCCAACAGAAATACTCTATTGACAGCTTAGTTTAAATTACAATGGGGAAAATACTTTAAAGAGTTTTCTTATGTTTATCAAACATATGGGTATGCTGAAAATCTTGTTCTTGTGGTTGAACAGAACCCTAGAATCATGGAGTGGTTTGGGTTGGAAGGAACATTAAAGCTGATCTCATCCCAACGCCCTGCCGTGGGCAGGGGCTCCTGGTCTAGCCCAGGTTGCTTCAAGCCCCAAATAATCTAACAACAAAATAGGACTGATGCATTTACTTTTGCATTACTTATCTTTTCCCCCCACCCCTCCCTTGCTCCCATTTTCTTTTCTGAATGTCCTTGTTAAAGGCACGTATTCCAAACTACGTAAAGCATGCCCACAATGCAGGAAGCGAATGTCGTGGCTGCAGATCGGTTGCAAGGGATAATTTAATCTCCACATTCGCTGGCTCTCCGTCATAGCCTAGAACTTCATCCAGGACTCAGCTCCAGTTTCTGAGCACTCACTGTTGTCATCCACAATCCATGAATTCCGTATTCAATACCAGACTCTTTATCAGTCCTACAATTACCATAAAGATAAACAGGAAATTAAACACATTGACTCTTCTCCAATGTGATAAGTTGCTGGCACATTACACAACATTTCCAAGGACTTTAAAGTGAGCAACACCTAAGAGATCTCTTGAAACTGGGTCTGCTCCAGTTACTTACTGTTATCTCAAAAAGCCAAACCACAGATAGGTGTGAAGAAAGTCACCTCTGGATACCTGAAATGGCATTTTTTTATCTGGTGCCAGTGATACTGCTGGTGATTTTTGTTGCTTCATTCATTGCAGCAATCATAAGAACAATTCAAACTGAGTATGCCAATTGCAGCATCCCTCCTGGAGTGAGCAATCCTGGAAAACTTCGACTTATTGTTGCTGTTTTGATTGTTGCATCTACTCTGGTGAGTAACTCTGCCACAACTTCTGCCAGAAACGTTATTAGATGTTAATTTTGTTGTATGTGTAAATTCTGTAAACAGAATTCTGCCAGCTCCATCAAGGCTTAAATGATGGCTTTTCTCTTCTGGGGGCTGACTTGACAGGACAGTTTTTGGAAAATCATTTCTGTTAGACCTCAGTCAGATTTTCCTTATTACATAAGGATTAAGTCAGCCATAAGAGCCTAAGCTTTATCAGCTGAGCTTCCCTAATTAAATTTAAAATTAAATATTTATTAAAAGTGAGATTGCTTTGATTTCCACTTCAGCTAAGCACACATGATATTTTTAGGCCATTCTTGGGCCTTTCCAGTAACATCCCTGGGTAATGAAAGTACCAGTAATGGGAGATGCTATTTAAGAAGACAAAAACAGAAACCCCAGAAACCTTAGAGGGATGAGAGACATTTGGGAGCACTGGCAAGGCCTCCCTCACCAGCTGCCCCTTCACCAATTCCCCTTCACTCACCAGGAGCCTTGTCACCAACTGCCCCTCACCAGGGGCCCGTTCAATGAGTGTCCCTCGCCAAGTGCCCCCTCACCATTTGCCCTTCTCCTGCTGCCCCTCACCATTTGCCCTGCACCATCTGCCCTTCTCCTGCTGCCCCTCACCATTTTCCCCTCACCATTTTCCCTTCTCCTGCTGCCCCTCACCATTTTCCCCTCACCATTCTCCCCTCACCATCTGCCCTTCTCCTGCTGCCCCTCACCATTTGCACTCCTCCTGCTGCTCCTCACCATTTCCCCCTCACCATTTTCCCCTCACCATTTGCACTCCTCCTGCTGCCCCTCACCATTTTCCCCTCACCATCTGCCCTTCTCCTGCTGCCCCTCACCATTCTCCCCTCACCATCTGCCCTTCTCCTGCTGCCCCTCACCATTCTCCCCTCACCATCTGCCCTTCTCCTGCTGCCCCTCACCATTTTCCCCTCACCATTTTCCCCTCACCATCTGCCCTTCTCCTGCTGCCCCTCACCATTCTCCCCTCACCATCTGCCCTTCTCCTGCTGCTCCTCACCATTTTCCCCTCACCATTTGCCCTTCTCCTGCTGCCCCTCACCAGCTGCTCCTCACGCGGTTCCCGCTCACCGGGTGCCCCCTCAGGGCCGTCCTCGCGCGGCCTCCCCTCAGCTCACCCCGTTTGTTCTCCCTCTCCCAACAGGGCAGGATTTTTGAGAAGATGGAGCTGTGCAGCAGCTTGGCCGTCAAGCGCTTCGTGTTCTCCGGCTGGAAGCCGGGCCCAGCGCCGGGGGTGCGGCAGGAGGACGCGCGGTTCGGGGGGGTGCCCGTGCGGCTGTACTGGCCCCGCGCGGTGCGCAGCGCCGTGCTGCTGTTCCACGGCGGCGGCTGGATCTTCTGCAGCCTCGGTACGGCCCCGGGCCCGGTTCTGCAGTGTCGGTACAGCCCCGGGCCCGGTTCTGCAGCCTCTGTACGGTCCTGGGCCCGGTTCTGCCGCCACCGCGGCACCCCCGGCACCGGCCTTGCAGAGCTGGCCTGGCAGGGGTTGCTTCAGCCGCGGCCGACAGAATTCCGGCCTCCACAAAGACGCTGATACATAACTTTTTCACCTGATTATATACTTCCAGCAAACAAAGAAGTTAATCCGCATTGGTTCTAAATTACTTAAGTTGGTATTCTATCCTCTTTAGTCTTTTTAGTATATTTTTCCTCTGGTAGGGACTTTACAACAGGCATATACTGAATCTTTTGTTAGCTGATTCTTTATATTCTGGTTTCTACAAAATGTCCTTGTAGTCCATAAATTCTGCCCTTCTTGCATCCAATTTCAACAATACACACCCTCTCCCAGGCCTTGTTCTTCGAAGCATATCAGGTTTAGATTGGCAAAATTTTGAGAAGTTTCACTGATTTTCTCAATCAAGTCAACCATAACAGACCTGTGTAGAGAAAGGTATGCTGCCTAAAAGTGATTTAAGGCTAGCACACTGCTTATAATTAATATACTGGTTATGATTAATTAAAATAATTAATTAAAAATTAATTAGAAGAGTTATATAATTTCCAACTGCTGGAAGGCTGAACTTCGGCTGGGATCTCCCATCCAGCGCTGGGAAGGGAGGCAGCGGTCAGGGGGAGAGAGGAGAGGGATGAGGGAGTTTGTGGGCACCAAAACATCCTTCCATCTGTTTCAGATTCCCATGAAAGGATCTGCCAGTACATTGCCAAGGAAAGCAGCTCGCTGGTGGTGTCTGTGGGGTGAGTTACAACAGGCTGCCCCAGAGGAGCCTTTTTTCCTCTTGTCGCTTCTCACCACTGCAGGGATGTGCAGCTGGTGGGAATGCTCCTCTTCAGGAGCTGGACTCTATGATCCTCATGGGTCCCTTCCAACTCAGAATTTTCTATGATTTTCCCAGGATCCCAGGCATCCAGACAGAATTTCAAGGGTGCTGTTTTAATTTCTCTCCCTGCTCCATCAGGGAGGCTAACATCAACTAACAGTGCAGACACAGCCCACAGTAAGGTCCATGTGTCTCCCAACATAGAGACATGCTGGCACCACACAAAACCAAGGAATACTTTCCAGAAGAGAGTTCCAATGTGTTGAGAAATTACCAATAAACCAGCTTGGAAGGTGATGATTCAGTGATCCATTTAAATAGGTGTAATTACCTTCTGAACTTCAAGGAGCTTTCTAACAATAAGAATCAAATGCTAATAAGTAATAATACTACTAATTGGTAGTATTATATAACAGTCCCAGTTATTTAAAAAAAAAATAAAGAAAATAAAGAAAAAATAATAAATTTTTTCTTTTAAATAAAGAAAAAATAATTCTAAAACTGAAATATCCTAAGTAAAGATGAGGTGCAGATAGATTAAATTACTTAATCCACAAGCCAGGTGCAGTCTACACCAGAAGAAAAAAATTAAGTTATATCACTTAATTTGTGATCAGGACTGCTCTCGGAATATCCCAACTATGCTATGTCCTTGCAACCCCATCCTATGGCTGTCATTTCTCTGTGATGATTCACTGGACAAATACCTGTTTAGTAGATAAAAATACCTTCATGTTCTGTTTTTTTTTCCTGAGGGAAAAATTACTCCAACACAGGGAAAAACAGGATGCTGTAAAAATTTTGTATTTACACTTACATTTCCTTCTGTTACTTTTGCTGTCCCTGTCCGTGTCGCAGGTACCGTTTGGCCCCTGAGCACAAATACCCCGCTGCGTACGAAGACTGTCTGAACGCCACACAGCACTTCCTGCAGCACCTGGAGCGCTACGGCGTGGATCCTGCCCGCGTCACTGTCTGCGGGGACAGCGCTGGGGGCAACCTGGCAGCTGCTGTGAGCCAGACCCTGGCAGGCAGGGCAGACCTCCCCAGACTCCGTGCTCAGATCCTCATCTACCCAGGCCTTCAGGCTCTGGACTTCAATTTGCCATCCTACCAACAAAACCAGGGAGTCCCTCTGCTCTTCCGGGAACGTGCTGTTTTCTATTCCTTGCAGTACGTACAAGGGGACACATCAAACATGCAAGAGGTCTTGGAGGGCTCTCATATTCCTCCAGACATGAGGTTGAAGTATGGGAAGTGGGTGAGTCCAGACAACATCCCTGAGGAATTTAAAGTCAGGGGCTATAAGCCACACAAGCCCTGTGAATTCAAGCCTGGAGTTTTTGAGAAAGTGAAAAGAATCCGTGAGACCACGCTGTGCCCGTTGTTCGCTGAAGATGAAGTCATTCAGCAGCTGCCAGAATCCTTCATCCTGACCTGCGAGTACGACGTGCTGAGGGACGATGGCTTGTTGTACAAGAAGAGGCTGGAGGACAACGGGGTTCGAGTGACCTGGTACCACCTGGAGGATGGATTCCATGGAGTCATAAACCTATTTGAATATTGTGGTTTGTCATTTCCCTCTGGGAAAAGGGGATTGGACAGGGTTGTTGCATTTATAAAAGGCCTGTAAAAAGAACTCTCTCATTATGCTTTTCCCACTAATGTCTCTGCTTAGGCTCTCACACCTCAGGTATTGCTGGTCAGCAAGAATATGATATCTTATGATGTGTTAAATACTAACTCTAATATCCATGAACTTCAAATTAACACAGATCTTTCCCTTGTGAGACTCCTGAGAGTTTAGTCTTTAAAATTTTTCTATATGCCTTCTTTTTTTCCAAATTGGCATCTGATTGATTTCTTTTCTTTAATCACTGAATGATTTACTTCTATAAAAATGATCTATGTGGAATGATTTGGATTAAATGTTGTTCACTACAGCCAGGTTATTTGTGATGTCCACCTGATAAGCTCTAAAACATGACTTAATTAGCTAAAAAGTATAAGCTAGGTAGATAGTGAGCTGGAGGGAAAACACTGGACAAACAGGCAGAGATTAAGATCTCAGTGAGGAGACTGAGCAAATATTCCATGCAAAAGTAGCAGTGCAAGGCCAGAGTTGATGGGGGGACACCTAGCTGGAGGCAAGTAAGGGCTGCTCTGATTTTGAAATAACTGTAGCTGTACAAAATCCTTTTTAATCCTTTTTAATTTAATTTTTAAAGGCTCCATTACGCCCACTGAGGGCAGGATATAGTGTTGAGAAGAAATGCTGACATCAAGTTTTAGAAAGGCAGGAAGGATCAGTGAAGTGGGCTTTTGGTATGTGTGTGTACTGAAAAGTACAGCTTAGAAAGAATATGAAGCAAAATGTTTTCATATTCTTCCAAAGGGTGTCCCCCAGTATTAACTTTTGCAGAATCTGTGCTGTGATTCTGTGCTAGAATCTGTCAATTTGTGCTTTCTCCGTGGCTTGAGTTTTATTTACAGGATGAGACAGTGTTTTCCCTGACAGGATGCTTCATTACACCCTGCTGATGAAAGCAAGAACAGCAGTGAGCACACTCAGAACGGCCAGACTGAGGACATGGAAATCACAGAATTGCTAGGATTGGGACTGATCTCTGGAGATCATCCAGTGCAATCCCCCGCCAAGGCAGGGTCACCTGGAGCAGGTGACACAGGAACACATCCAGGTGTACTTGGAACGTCTCCAGAGAGGGAAATTCCTCACCCTCCGTGGGCACTGTCGCAGTGTTCTGTCACCCTCAATGTAAAGAAGTTCTTTGGCATGTTGAGATGAAACTTGCGTTTTGATTTACGCCCATTGCTACTCATCCTAAGGAAATCCTCAGGAAAAAAA